GGACCCCAAGCAGTTCCTCCTTGTTTACTAAATTAGATAGAAAAAAAATTAAAACAACTATTCTCAAAAGAAAAATATCAACTTACTCGTTTGATATTTTTTCTAATAAATCAAATTAAAAAAAAAATTTTAGAATTATATTTAAAGAAAAAAGAATAAGAAAATACATACCACTTGATGAATGTTTGTCATTTGCATTTGCTTTACGACGTTTTAGAAATATAATAGCAGCAATTATAATAGCAACAAGTAATAGAAGTAAAATACCACCAATAGTTAATCCAATTATCATTGGAACTTTATAAGATTCTAAATATGAATACAATATTATTGTTATTATTTTTTAGAGACAAAATAAAATAAACTTACTTCCTCGATTTCCATCTGCAACTGAACCTTCTTTCAATGTACCCGATGGAGCTAAATTATAGATAGAAGATGAATAAAAATAAATATTTTAAAATAAAAATGATTTCGAAACGTAAACAAAGCATGGGAACCAGACGATATAAGCATGCAAAAACAACCAAAATGAATAGCATATTGTAATAGGGAGAAGCTACAAATGTGTATTCTTACTTTTAATTTCTCTCTTTCTTACACCAAATTTACTTATCTAAATCAAGATTTTATATAATTTATTAAAACTATATAGTTCAAGAGAATTTGCTCGAATGAGTATGTAGAATGTAGTGAGATTTGTTATATTATATTCAAAGAATTCATCGAATTTTATCTTAAAATTAGAAAATAGGAACTATAATTTTTGATAAGTATTAAAACTTGTTCTAATAGTTGTCTATGTATATAAATTGCTCAGTTCTGAATGAGTTCATAATATTGTAATTTTAGCACAATAAATTTTTTCGAAGAATTAGTTTCGAAATAATGAGAATCAAATTGATCTACTCTATATAAGTAATCTGATAGAGATAGCACATTCGATTACAAAATAATAAATAGTTGATGTAAGTAGAATTCGAATATTATATTTAAAACAATTTTATAACGATTAATGATATAAAATTTCTCTTATCAAAATAAAACAAAATAACTTACGATGAACCATAATCAGAAATTGTTGTTTAACTGTTTTTCCTCCTGATTGTGCCTGACATTGCATAGCATGTTGTCCTGGATTTTGATAGATTCTTTGTATTTGTCTCGTTGTACCAAATACATTCAAAGCAGCTGTTGGAATATTTGATTGTGGTTGTAATGGATATTGCTGTCCGTAGGGATTCTGTTGTCCATAATATGGCATCATTCCTGATGATGTAGTATTTGACATTTCATACCAAACATATGATGGAGGTGGATTTGCTTCTATCTGACAGTCCATTGAGATCATTTTTAATACTTCACTGTCTAAACTAACAGTTGGTAAAGCACCCGCTTCTAAATTTGGTCCATCTAAATTTATACAGAAAAAAATATTATTAATATAACATAAAAGAAATCTATATTTAATAATGAAAATAGTAAACATACAATCAATTTCAATTGGGACTGTTTTAATAAGAAAAACATCAATATTATTATTTGATTCGACTTGACATTGTATTGTTCCATTATGATCAGCACGTGTTAATGGACGTTGAAGTATAATTGTTCGTGTAAATATTTGTTCATTTAATGTATCATTATAATTTTTAGCATTTGGTAATATTGATGATGATAATGTTCGTGTTGATAAAAACAAATCAAGTCGAGGTAAGTTTTCCGTACCAGATAAAGTTGATGATGATGATCTTGATGGTAAGGATAAAGATGATGGAGGTATAATAGCTAGATTATTTGATGATGAAGGTGGATCAGCTAGTTTAAATGTTGAACGAATGATTGAGACAGAACAAGCAACAAGTGATGAACCATTATTATCTTCGCTAGCATGCGAATTGTGAATTTGAAGAGAAGATACTAAACGAGAAGAAAAAAACAACTTAATATCGAAATATTCTAATACTTAAGACATTACCATTAATAGCACTAAGTACATTCACAAATGTTTGCCAATTAGCATCAACAGCTGTATAATAACCAACTGTTGTTTGATCGAGTGAAAGAATAGTTAAACGATTATTTTGTTCGTCATAATTAAATTTCGATTTATTTGAAAAACCAACCCCAATTATATATAATGAATAACCATTCAAACCTAAATGAGTTACTCTTATTGATGGTGGTGCAACTAGAAATGTAAATGGTTGAGATAGATTTCCAACTAAATATTGTTCGCTGGACCCAGACGGAGGTGAAAGTGGTTGAGCAGCTGGATGGTCATTTGTAGGTTGTTGAAATTGATTAGCAAGTGGTGGTGGTTGACCTAATTGAGGAGATTGTATTTGAGGACCTTGCATATTTCCTTGATAATATTGCTGTTGATACATTGGAAGCTGTTGTTGTTGTTGTTGTTGTTGTTGTTGTTGCTGCTGCTGCTGCTGTTGATGAATCGGAAGCTGTTGTTGCTGCTGTTGCTGATTCTGTTGTTGTTGCGGTTGCGGTTGCGGCGGCTGCTGCTGTGGCTGCTGAAGATGTTGTTGTTGCTGCTGCTGCTGCTGTTGTTGTTGTTGATGGATTGGCAGCTGTGGTTGTTGTTGCATTTGATGATGCTGTTGTTGATACATATCACTATTAACAGCTGGACCATATTGACCGGGATGTTGATATGGTAACTGACCCATTGTAAGCCATGGCACCACCATCATAAAACAAACTAAACAAATTTCATTATTTATCATACATTTAATATTTCATATCTCTTATCATTTAAATGACAACTCATCATTTGTCAACTACAGAAATAAGATCTACAAGTATGAATGTGCCTTCATTTCTTTGTTTATTAGTAATATGACACGATAATTTCAACTTGTTAAAATTATGTTATAAGATCGTCTCTCTCTCGCAATGAAAATCATTTATTCAATTATGCGATATGATTTGCTCGATAGATCAAGGTTATATAAATATAAATAATTAATTGCTCATAATGATAATTAACACTCTTCTCATATTTCTTTTTAAATACACATATGATTCTTATAATTATTTATTATCTATGACTCATATATTACTTATCAACAGTGAAAAGAGAAGAAAAATAAAAGAAAAAGACTAGAAATCCATTTCCTATTCCGTTTGTTTTTGACTAAACAAACATTTTCTTTTTTGTTGTTAATAAATTCTTACCGAAAATAACATTCATAATCATTGTACACACAATAATCACATTTAATTAACCATGGACGGATAAATAAAACTAATAATTTCTATTAAATGACAAACCTTAAGGAAAAAAATTAATAAATCTAGAAGAAAAATAATATATTATTCGATTTGAATTTATTTTCTGGCCAAATAGACAAAAAAAAAGAAAGGAAAGATAGATAAATGTTTTTTCATGAATTTGTACTACGACTATTGTTATTATTGATCGAATTTGTTTTGATGAAGAAAAAGTTAATGTTGATTTATTTAAAGCGTTATTTAATGCAATACGACATTCATGAAATGAGACGATAACCTATAAATATTTGGATGTTTTTTTTCTTTCTTCGTCTTTCAACTCGAAAACAAAAAATAAGAAAGGAAGAGAAGAATAATTTCAATGGCAACAAAACAGAAACAAATTGAAATAGAGAAAGATATTATCCAAATATTAGCACAACACATTCGATCACAGAGAAAAAACTTCACGATCCTTCCTGGCGAAAGTTTTGAGTGTTGAATAATTCGGAGGTATTTAAGTATATATTCATAGCATTCTATTAGGACTTATATTTTTCTAACGGTTATAGATACTTGTTCGATAGTAGATATACACCAAATTTGAATTGAATTTAAGAATTGAAGATGAAATGGATCACCTTGTATATTCCATTATGATAGGCTATACCTCAAGCAGTTTATGAAACTAGAAAAAATGATCTGTTAGCTAGGTCAAAAATGAAACCGCGATATATTGAGAAACCTTTGATAGATTTAACTTTTTTGATTCCACAAGTTTTTAATCAAATTATAAAACATTATTATTTACTACTTTTTAGTTTTAATTTTCTAATCTGGAAAAGTTCCTAGATGAAAATAAAGATTTTCATAACATCTGAGTTTGAGATGACTCTCTAATATTAATAATATAGCACATACATATACATATAGGCAATTTTCACTTATTATATATAAATATACACCGATAAACATGAATACCTAAACAAAAGTAACGATAAAACGAAGAAACAAAAGCAAATGAATAAAATCTTACCTGTGGTGAAAGCATCAATCGTGGTTCATTACCACCTTTTAAATGAATTGTTATTGTTTTTTGTCCTTTAACTTCTTTTGAATCAATATGTTCAATTCTTTCCATTGTATAAACCTAAATTTATTAATACAATTTATTAATTACATTTCTTTACAAACATAGTTTAAACTATCTTATAAGTACAAAATAAAATTCTATAAATAACATAACCTTTCTTCAACGATTACCTAATTATTTTCATTCATCCAAAACCGACAAAAGAAGTTGATCTTTAAGATGTCTAGTATATACTAGATAATTATGAGATATTTGATTTTTCAAAAGAAGAACAGTTCTTTTTTTTCTTTATAAAGAAGAATAAAATAATGATGATATTTGATTTGTTCGATTTCTACTTATTCATTCAACATCAACATCAAAGAGTACAACAATAATAAAAAGAGATATTATTTATTTCCGTTTGTTAAACGTGATATTTCGTGATCTTTTGCAACATGATTCTTAACATTATCTAATCATACTCGAAAAATTCAATCTTTCTTCTCTTTCAAAACTATTCTCAATAATTAACAAATCTCATAATCGCAAGAGAAAAGTGAATAAATGAATGTTTTCTTACCTCTGGATCTTTATCACCTTTTTCATAATGTAATTCAAGTCTATTTGGATATAGTTTCGTATAACGGATTTGCCACGAAAAACCAAATGTTCCAGTATTTTTCTTAAGTTGTCCTTGTAATATTAAATCAGATGTTTTTTCATCATCATAAATATTGTTTTGTTTAAATTTTGTTCTTCGTTTTTGTTCGATTTTATCTGTTTCTTGATT